ATGGTATTGGCTGAAAGACTCGTGTAAAGTTTGTCATCAGTCATTGGTGGGTTTCGATCCGTCTATTGTTAGTCAAATAGGTCGGTTTATGGTCCGTGTATTGTTAAGTCGGTCTGTTAGAAGTCCGTTTGTCGGTTTCGTTTCCGTCATGGATAAGTCGTTTGTAAGGCGCCGGTAGTTGTAATGAGCAGTTGTTCGACGCCTTATATGTAGTTTTGCTCTATCGTAATCAGATAAGCACGCTGCGAACGAGACCTTATTATTTGTTATAAATGCTTTGTAGGGGCCGGTGTAACATTCTTGCGTTACTTCCTATTGTTTTCGTTCCCTATGCAAATCATGATATCCCTACGGAACAAATAATTTACATTTTGCGCGCGTGTACTTGTACTGATTTAAGAGCTACGGTTTCGTTATGTTTAAAAAGTTTACTAGCAAATCCGTTGGAGCAAGTTGTGTATCGCGCGTATCCAGGATCTGTTCTATTCCTACTTTGTCATTCTGGTGGAATTATGGTTATGGTCTTATTTCTTTTGTCTAGCTTCCTTCACTTTTTATTGTTGTATTCATTTTCTATTTGCTTGCCATTTTTTTCTAGTCAAACTCGTATCCGTGTGAAAATAAAATCGTACGATGTTTGAAGTTCACACCAAGTTTGGTGTCCACTCTATTAGTAACATAGCGAAACAGCGATAACAATTTGTACTGCAGTGCAAATTTAACATTAAAAATAAATTTGGCTGTCAGCCAGTCACAATGAAGAATTTTTCAGTCACATAATTATAACATATTATAAGCAGACAAATAAAGTTCGGACTGTCTGTACATATGCTGTATTGCCCAGTAGCTCAGAGACTGGGGTAATTTAGTTGTAGTACATTACCGTAGTGCATTTCATTACAGCCAAAACGTTGGTTGTTCCCTCTTCTGTCTTGTTTTCATTTACGTACTTTCCTGCTCCTTCCACTTCAAGAACATTGGCCTTGATTTTTAACGATAGCTCTGCAGATACGCCCAATAACTCATTCAAATCTTTGCTGGAGTTTACAACTTTGAACTTGAACGAAAGCGTATTGACATTTCTTTGCTCTGTCTGGATTCCCTCTGGGAAGATGTCAATGCTGCAAGCACTAGAAGTTTCGGCGTCAAAAGTCCGTCCAAGACGCAACGTGGGGCACGTAAAAGCTGGGATATTCATTTTCTGAAAAAAGCGAAAAAAATCACCAAGTAAAGTATGCAAGGTCACTTGAGCGAATATTCTGCTTTATAGTTTTAAAGGTGTTCAGAGAGCTGGAGGCTGGTGTTCAAATTAAAGTTTTTCAAGGAAACTGATGCAATTAAGAGGCTGTCCGCCTAAGAATCGCGACCACTTAATTCGGATCAAAACTTCGATTTCCTCTAAAATTTCTCCACGAAACGAGGTTGATATGAGGTAAAAGAAAATATATTTCTAAATAAATAATAATAGATAAATGATAATAGTCGAGATTTTGAGCAGAATGTGATCAATACCTGAAAACCTCAAATTGGGCCTTTCACGAAGACGAAATTAGCCCTCATTCGGATGCTTGCTGCCGAGCGTATATTTAGCGTACGAAGGTAAGAATTACACCACCATTAGATACATCATTGCACTTAAAACAAATGGTAAAATCAAACCAGAGTATGGAAAATTACTAAAATTATAATCACTTAAACAGGACAATGTCAACGCCATTTTCAAGAAGCGGGCCAAGTGGCGTAGCGAAAAGCGAATTTTCTCATAATTCTGACTTATTCGGAGAACCTCTTGTATTTTTCTGAAAAGTATTAAGATAGACCCTTGAAACCATAAAACAAAATTTATTGGCACTCGAGTAAATGAAAGGATATCTAAGGAGTGAATTGTCAAAAATTCAGCAACTGGTCATCTACGCAAACAGCACGACCACTATGCTAGTACATAAATGTCCATTTTTTTGTCTTATGCAGAAACGAAGATGACCTGCTGTCACAACCAAGGAAACAAATTCAAAATGTCACCTTTTCATTTCCACTGCTTTACGTTCACGGCATCATTTCCATGACATGATTTCCACTTTTTCGGCTATCAGTCCATTGTTATGACCACAGGCAGCAGGGTTCGATTCCTCAATCTTGTGTGACTGTCATTTTATCCCAAAATATCGAATGTTTCTGATTAGTTCCGTAAAGTGAGTGTAGGTAATCGAATCAACAATTTCTCTTGTTGACGAATGCATCAGTGGCGTCAAAAGTAAAAAGAAAATCGAGCAATTACGTTTGAAAAACCAGTCGCCATGTTTGTTCGCTTCATGTACTGCCGCTGACCGTATCAACATACTTCGTAACTGAGCAAATCAATGGATAATCGATAAACAAAGTGCTTGCGAAGCAATTATGCTAGGAAGATGATGTCAGTGAAGAAAACTTTCTCTTTTTCTGTGATCTTAAACGAGCATCGCGGATCAAATAGAGGCGAAGAAAAAATAATTTTTATCCGCGAATTTGTGCATGAAATTGATAATCACCTTCGCAGATGTCACTTGTCACGCGAGAATGTCACGCGAGCAAGGTTAAAGAAATGACTGTGTGCCCAAAACAGAGGAAGAACCTTGGTAGGTATTGGCAGTCCCCAGAACCTGTCAATACCCAGAACAAGCCAGGAAGTTTAAAAAAATTAAAGAAGGAATTGTAATCAACTTGAAGACTTCGAAGGAGATTTACACTTTGTTTGGTGAAGCGGCATAAGTAGGGTTCCGGCGTAAGTATAGCTGGTTTTCACATGACGTCACTAAAATACAGACAACAAAACTATTGATCTTCCTGAGATTTTACTTTAATGATGTAGCTGAGCAGCTGAAAACTAATATTCATACAAATTTTCGCTCCGAATGGGTTCTTGGTTTTGTGATACACTACG